TCTTCTTTTCCACTGACCCCAAACCTGTATTATTCATTCCATTCTTCTCCCTCTCCCTTTCCTTCTTCGTGTTCTGTTTTTATTGTTCTGCAACCGAATGCCTAGCCTAGGACGTAACAGCAATTATCTGACTGCACAAAAGCAGAGATAGTGCTTAAATACAAATGGGAGACATGATATATATGTGTGTGTGTGTGTGTGTGTGTGTGTGTGATCATACCCAATGAAACATGATCTCTAGAAGAAAATTTTTCAACAACTCAGGTCCTACAGGCATCCGGACTATGATAGTTAACTGTCAACTTGTGTAAGAAATGTCCCAGTAAATTGGATCAGCATAGTTCTGGTGTGGCTGAGGGGATTTACTGAAGATTTGCTGGGATTTACTGGGTGTGAGTGACAGCAACCAATAGGCTTGTTGCCTGAATAGTATAAAAGGGAAATGAAGAAGGAAGGCTCGCTTCTGTTTCTTGGAGGAGCTCTAGTCTTTATCTTCCTCTTGAAGTTGTCTCTTGGCTTCCAGTGCAGACCCTTCAGCCTCCAGCCCAGACAACTTTAGCCCGCCTTCGCAGCCTCTTCAGCTTTCCATTGCAGACCCTTTGCCCTCCTGAAAAGCAGTCACACAGGACACTACAGTGAGTATCAGGCCTTCAACTGAAACCTTGTGATCCCCTGTGCACAGACAAACTTTTCTATTCTTCCAAATCCAACTCTGTGGGTGGCCATTGTAAGCCAATCTTGTAAATTTTTATATGTTTGTATATCTTGGATTAAATCTGTTACTCTAGTAAGCACTGCCTGATACATGGGTCCTGTGTTTGTTTAGCAGCGTGGCCTCAAGTATGGACTCGGTGATGTCATGATCCCCTCTCTATTAATTGAAACATAGAGCCTACCAGTGGTCCAAGGTTATTACCAGTCCCTTTTCTAAAGCTCTTCTCAGCCCTCTATAGGTATAATCTGGCCGAGACAAAAATGAATGGAATCTCTTGAAGGTCAGTGGTTCAGAGTAGTTAAGTTGGTTATGTGATTCTTTTAGCTCTTATTTCTAGCTAGGAGACACACAGATAATTTTCTCCAATGTGTCGTAGAGGCCAATACCAACCTCTTTTCCCCCTTTCCCAATGGACATTATCTCTGCAAATACTGAACCATATGTTCTTGAAGAAGACTTTGCCTCCTTGGTCTTTGACAATATTTCCCCAGCAACAAGGGGTCTCTGTGTACAAGGGGTCCCTGTGGCTCCTTTGTACCCCTATGGGTTTGAAGGGTTAAAAGACTTTGGATCTGGACAAATCATTAAGCTCACTACATTGTGGGTACTCTTGGGGCCACGGAGAAAGCCTTATGCCTTTACCTATCCCGAAGTAGGATGGCAGGTAAATAATGATGTATTGCACAGAGATGTTGAAGCCCTGGTACAGCTTCCACATTCCATCAAACTTGGTGATCTTACCAGTCTTTGAGGCCTTGAACTCTTGCTCTGTGCCTTATTTCCCAATATCAGTTGCCAGAACCCATTTGTTGAAAAGTCCTGGGAGTCAATGAAGCCAGGATAGGTTGTTCTGGCCAGCTTCTGGAGGCCAGATTGTTAGCGAAATACCTCCAGAACGTCATTACTTGTCCACACCCCCGGTAACACCTGTATATACTTATCCTTGAAGGCGAAGTTGGGGATGTGGATGATGTAGCCTTTGGCTTGGTCTTGGCTGCCACCTGCCTATTGATGTGCCACATCTGCTACAACAGCTTGATCGCTCCATTAGGGTCACTATCATCTCAGAGGTGACAGCAATAGCACTGGCCAGGAAGTCCTTGATAAATGAGATGGCCTGTTATGTCATGGTGACAGTGTGGGCAGCAGGACAGGCAGCTAAGCAAGCAGAGAGCTGGGAGGGTCAACCCCGCCAACTTAGCCCTGCTTGTGCCAGACCTAAAGGCCTAACCCCTTCTATTCTTGATTTGGGTTAGTGGAATCACCAATTTAATTTACCTGTGTAAGAAACCTTGGTGTCATTTTCACCTCCTTTCTCTCACCCCCGCTACAGTCAGCTGCCAAATCTTGCTGATTCTAATTTTAAAATATCATTTGATTCTGTCTCTCTCAAGCCCTACAGCTATTGGCTTAAAATAATTCTTCATTATACCTTCTTTGGACTATTATTGCAGCAGTACTGTCATCCGTTCCTGTGATAACAGATTTTCTTCACCCACCTTCTCCATGCTGCCATTGTAGGTACTAGGAACAAAGGAATTTTTCTCTGTAAAAGCTTCCATGAGTTGTATATACCTATGGGATTCTAGCTTAAGCTTGGCTACTGAGCTTTTAACCCCTTTCTGCCTTGTTTTTTTCCCTCCTAACTTCATGTTCTCTGCACATGTTCTAGGTTCCTGTTGCTTCATATTCTCACTACTTCCACTCTTTAATCTTGTACTTTCAGACAACTGTTACATTTTCTCAAGCTATTCTATTTTCTCCTCTCCACCCTGATTTGCTACAGAAAATTTCCTACATCTACTAAGATCAAGTTAAGCATTATCTAGAAGGTGATGACTTCCCAGATTCTCCCAGGCTATTGGATACTCAGTTCCTTTTGTTCCCAGAGCACTTAATATTTGATGCAGACTTTTTAGTGTTATTATTTTTTCTATTTACATGTTGGTATCTCACAATAGACTGTAAGCTTCTGATTATTAGTGAAAAAGATATAATTTTTTGCTAAATCTTGGTGAATGAATGCAATATTGTCTTCTTCCAAAGATGCTTTTGATATTGCTTTTTCTCTTTCTTCCTACTACAGCCATTCCATATTATCAACTCAAACGTAGGTTTTAATAGCCACTAAGCTGACCATCGAGAGCAATCCCATTAAATAATGTAGCCACTACTTAGATGTGGTTATTGAGCATTTAAAATTTGGCTACTTTAAATTGAAATGAGCTGTAAGTGTATAACACACATGACACATACTGCAGTTTGAGGACAGGATGAAAACAAGAGTGCCAAAGAAATCAATAATTTTGCATTACCTGTTAAAATGATTTTTGGATACACTGAGTTAAAATGTACTATTAAAATGAATTTCACCTATTTCCTTTTGTTTTTAGATATAGCTACTAGACTATTTTAGACTTTATTATTATTTTTCTGGTTTTTTTGAGATAGAGTCTCACTATGTAGTTCAGGCTGGCCTTGAACTCACTATGTAGCCTGGGCTGGCCTAGAATTTGGCTCCGCCTCTCAAGTGCTGGGATTATAGCATGTGCCACCACACCCGACAGCTACTAGACTATTTTAAAAAACCTATGTGGCATGAATTTTTTTTGGTACTAGGGATCAAACTCGGGTCCTTGTGCTTGCAAGGCAGGCAGTGGAACCACTGAGCTAAATCTCCGGCCCTATGTTCTTATGACTCTTCCATCTATCCTGTAGGTGATTTCTTTGTGGTAAACCTGGCTTTGGTTTTTCTGAATATTTGTAGTGCTAAGAAGAATTTCAAGGGGGAAGGGGAATGGTGTTTGTTAGCTGGTTACTGCTGTACTTTCTCACAAGATCCTTTTTTTTTTTTTTTAATCATGCTTTTATCCAAATGGAAGAATCCATAGATTTTGTACTGTTGACTGGCTTTGAGGCAAGATTGTTTTGGCTGGCTCCTCAAGTTTTCCATAATACCATCATGCTTACTTATCCAGCCTTGTCTCCATTTTCTCTTAGTAGTACCTCACTGCTTCAATTTTGTTTTCCAAGCTACTTGAAGGGTTCATGTTTTGCGCATGCTCCTCCTCCTCAACATTTCCCCCTATAGCACCTGTCTAAACTAACTCAGTCTTTAGGACAGGCTTCATAGCTCCGGCCTCCTGCATGGTGTCCACCCTGACATCCCCCTAGATATTTCTGCCACAACCGTGCAGCTTACATTCTAATTTGTTTTAGTTCTGAACATCTATTCAGTTTAATTCCACAAGCAGTTTTGAGCCCCTAGCCGAGAACAGGACTAGGTAGGGATGAAGGTCACCTTTATACAGGGCCTAAGGCTGGGAATTGGCTTTAGGAAAAGTGCAAGACGGACTCCTGCTTGTGTAGCATGTGCTCCATCATAAACAAGGGCTGTGTTTATTCTGCGTACACAAGCCCCGTATTAGAAATTGCTAATAATCCACAACATCCTGAATCATTGACTGCCTCACCCAGAGTTCAAACGGAGTGAGCATAGATTTGGGAGCTCTGAGCCATAGTCAAGGGTGTCTTTTACTAGTTCTCGTTTTGTTGCATTAAAGATCACTGTTTGGATAGCTTCTTGTTAAAGTTACACCCCCTCGTTTGGCTCCTTGGTCACACTCGGCCTCTTCGAGGAAGGGCTTACAAGTCAGGTGTTTTAGGATCTGAAGACGGCTTGCTTTGAGTGGAAATCTCAACTCTTCCACTAAAGCAGCTCTAGAACCTGGACAAGTTATTTGACTCCTTCGGGCTTCACTTTCCTTATCTGTATGACGAGACTAATGGTATCATCGGGTTGAGATCGGGTTAAGAGCGAGCAGTTCGTGGCAGAGCAATCACTTAATCAGTGTTAGCCCTCGATACACTGCTCGACGTCCTCTAAAGTAAGAAACTGATTCGCCTATTTCATTCCGTTCTGGTCTCTACTTTCTAGAATAATGCCTGTTTCCAAACTGCACTGGAAAACCCGTCCAGTCACTGTTATTTTTGTACTCCACAGTATTTCCAGTGTTTGGTCAGCAAAGGCGAACTTCCTGCTCTGTAAAAAATGTCCGGAGACCAGGTCCCTCTCGAGGTCCTCAGCGACAATCTCACGTCAAAGAGATCCACTCAGCGATGCCCGACACTTTTCAGAAATCACCCTGGCACCGGAGCTTCCACCCACACACCTGCCGGCGGTGAACGCTTGAGCACCACGGCCCCGCCCCGCCGCCCGGAAGTGGCGCTCGCCCCGCCCCCGGCTCGCCACTTGGCCGGTGCGTGGGGCCGCCGGGCAGGGGGCGGGGCACGTCGGCGCCGCCCCTCCTCCTTCGCCTCCGCCGCCACCGCGGCTTCCTGGGTTGAGTCGCCCGTGGCCCAGCGGCGCCAGGTGTGTCCGCCCCTCCGGACTTTTGCGCGCTCTCACCGCTGCCGCTGCCGAGATGGCGACGCGCTCCTGCCGGGAGAAGGCTCAGAAGCTGAACGAGCAGCACCAGCTCATCCTGTCCAAACTGCTGCGGGAGGAGGACAACAAGTACTGCGCCGACTGCGAGGCTAAAGGTAGCGCGGACGCCGCTGCCCCCGCGAGGCCTCCAGGGCGTGACCTTCCCGCAGCCTCCTCGGGCCGGGTCACGGGCCTGGCGGGGAGGCGGCGGGCGGGGGTCGGGACCAGCTCCGTCCGCCGGTGGGGCCGGGCCGGGGAGGCCGCAGTCCTTCCTCGGCGCTCTCCAGCCCGGCCCACCGCTCCCTCCGCTCCGTTCCCGGTGTGGGTGCGGCCGCCCCTGGCCGCGTCGCCGCCGCCCTCCCGAGGGACCATCTGGCCCCTTCCGGGCTCAGTCGCTGTCCCCTAGAAGCAGCCCCACCTGCTGCCCACCTGCCAGCTTTCTGTTGGAGAGAAAGAGGACGGTGGTCCTTTCTGGTGGGTTCCTGAATAAAATAACCGGGGAGGGGTCCTGAGTTGTCGAGCTGGTAGTATTGCTTTTTCAGACTGGCTGCTGGCTAGAACGAAGAGGAATTTCATTCCTCCTGTCTTCTGTTTCTGAAGATGTTGATGTTAGATCGTCCTAGACCAGCTGTTCTGGGAAGAGTATGTACACACACTTTCATCTACCTTGTAAAGGTGGCAGGTGCATTGTAAAGAACTAGAGATAAAAAGATCTAATTTTAGTTTGTTCAGTTGGAGGGCTTCTGCCTAAGTCTTTGGAAGAGATGCACTATTTTTAGCTGATGTGTTTTGTGTTTGGAGATCCTGATTTATATTTAATCTCTTCTAAGTAAACTTATGGAGGAAAATGTTTCAGAGTTTTAAAAGCAAACTCATGTAATTAGGTAAGACTCTCGCTTAGTTGTAAATTGGTTTATTTAATTATTTGGTGAGAAGTCAGTAGTTCTTCAAAGCAGGAGACAGTCTTGGAGAATGTTGTTCAGGATTTCTACATTATGTGACCTGGACTTCTGAAGCTTTACTCTTCTTTATTAATACCGTATAAATGAGTCATGCACGTTCCAGTTGGCTTGTAGTAGTTGAATAGCCAGGTTACTTCATCCTCAGAGCAGGTAGGAGATTACTGGACAGTCCTGTAGGAATACTGTAACTAGATCGTTTTATGGAGCACTTTTCAGTATCATAGTAACTTGACTGTGTCAGCCTTATATTTGTGCTGTGTAACCTTTTAAAACTATCCCTGATTCTTGTAGTAATATTTATTTGCCTGATTCTTGATTATGTGTGGTTATTTGGTAATACTCTACTGTATTAAGGCTCAATTGATAGCTTTTCATTATACTAGTAAAACACTCACAGATGGGTCTTTAAAAGATTAGAGGATGAAAGGAGCTGAAGTGGAGAGTCACACTTGTCATTTTGAGTAATAAAATGGCTCAGTAGAGATGCTGGTAAATATTAAGTATTCATTAATAACTGAATAATAGTAGTTTCAGTGGTTACTTTTATATCTGGAAATAATTTAAAAGTACTTTTTGTTCAGATTTCTTCTCCATAAAACTATTTTATAAAATCAGATTTTCACTATTTCATAAAATAATTTAAAAGCCTTTATTAACCACAATTTAACATTTTTTCATTTACTTGTTTTTGGATGGAGGGAAGAGAATTAGCCCTTCTTAAACTAGAAAAGTTTTACTTTTCACCTGAAAAGTAGGAAGCATTTGTTTTACTATATGTATGGGTACTAAAGTCAGTAGATGTTCGATATCCTTTTATTTTATTTATTTATTTTATTTTATTTATTTATTTTTAATATCCTTTTATTTTGGCATTGTTCTTCTTTTGTTTGTTTTGTATTTGAGAAATGGAGGAAGTGGGAGAGAAGAGAATAGAATAGTATCAACAGTTCAAGAGTGCAAATTGAAGGGCATGAACTTCAGTCTTGACTTACAAATTTTTTTTCTTGTGTAGATAAATCTAGAGTAATGTTAAAATGACGTTGTAAATGATCTGATCTTGTGAATTGATTTTATCATTCAGGAAAAATTGCATGGGTAGGGCCACTTACTGGTTTAATTAGATTGATTTTAGAGTTGTGATTATTTGGGTAATTGATACATTTAAATATATTTTTGCAGAGTTTTGGTTGAGCTCCCTTATGGACCCATTTTATAGTAGAATTCTTGGCTTATTATGGAAGAGTTTGGATCTATTATATATGTCAGATAACAGTAAATGTGGGTAGCGGAAATTTGGATTGTGCTTTTAAATGATGCGCTAAAGATCTTGTCTATAGTTTAGTTATTAAGAGGTTCCATTCAGGATACATACTGATGTTTTTCTTACTAATAAATTGTATCAAGCTTTTTGTGTGTCTTGAAACTATTTCCTAGTCAACTCAAATTTCTTTCTTTCATGTACTCAAACTAAAGCCTAGGGTTTGAGATTGCCCTATTCTGTACCTTATGATAGTTGGCAGAGGTATGTAAATTGGGTTTTGACTTTTTCTTTTCTTAGTCACCAGTTTGTTTCCTGTATGGACAGTACCTAGGCAGGAAGGAGAAAAGGATGGGATAGGTACCAGTTTCCTGCTCTTGATCCTACATTCATCAAATATGTTCAGGAACTGGAGAATAAGGACAGGCAGATGGAACTTCACCACTTTTCCCCTGGCTGCAATCATGACTGTGGGAGTTGTAAAGCAGCCCTGATTAGTTGGTGGCAGTGTGAGACAGTGAGGACTGAGAGACCTCCTTGACTACTTAAAATCTAAGTTTAATTTTTCAGAATTTAAAGCTTCATCTACAGGTAATAGCAGCTTTGGTTTTGAAACAGTGTATGTATGAATTGGCATGAAAGTGAGTCTTTTGCCTGTAAGGTTTGGACTAGTCAGAATCATAAGGTTTTTTGAACCCCAGTAGAGATCATTTTGTTCTGACTGACACTGAGAGGTGAAGGTCCTTGCTCAGAGAAAGCTCCTGAAGAAATACTCATTTCTTCATGCCTCAGATGTTTACTTGAAGACATACTGTTACTAGACACTGTATTAGGTTGTGGAGCAAACACATTTGTTAAGAAATAAAGGATTTTGTTTGGTGTGGAGTGTTTTTGCAAATGAATCATTCTCAAACAATGTTCTAAGTGCTATGATAGTGGTTGTAAGAAGTACCTCCCCTCCTTTTTGTTTCTGGCTGTTCCCCTGCACTCTGATTTTTGCCCTCTGGTTGTTTTTATAGTACCTAGAATGCTGCCTCAGGGCCTTTGCATGCACTGTTTCTTCTGCCTAGGAAGCTAACAATGTTTTGCCTGATTACCTTATTAATTTTCAGTTTTTGCTTAAAATTTCTTCTCAAGGGATATAATTCTCCTTGCTCTCCCAGATTAGGCTAGGCTTCCATTATACATGTAAGACATCATCCTGAATCTTTTATTGCATTTATAATAAAACATCATGGAAGTAATTATTGGGTTATAATTAAACATCATTGAAGTAATTATTGGGTATTCCATTGCCCTATTGGATTATCCCTACAGAAGAGAAGAGATAATGTTTATCTTGCTTAGGGTAATTTCCCCAACCCTTAGAACAAATGTGTGACATGTGGTAGGTGAATGTAACTCAGGGGATGTCGTGAAAGAGTGACTGTGAATGAGCACAGAGCCAGAAGTAGGCAGCAGGATGTGTGAAAGGAGTGGTATTTGGAGCAACCCTGTAGGAGTCACAGAAGGAGACTTCACTTTAGCTAGGTTCTGAAGTTGCAAGGGAATTTCACTAGATGGAGAAGGAGTTAAAAGGATATGACCGTGTACACAAAGGTACAGGTGTATAAAAGAGAAGAGTTTAACATGTGGCTTTTTTTTGTAAATTGTTTTAAAATATGATCATATTTGGTAATGGCAGGTCAGAGGAAGAATCAGGATGGTGAGAGATTGTAAGTAAATCACTGAATGAGGAGATACTTAACAAGGAAAAGCTTAAGAAGAACCTAAGCACATGTAATGTGAATGAATCAGAGGATATAAAGCAGAAAACAGGTGCACAGTACTTATTTTTTATCTAAAAGCATGCTTAAAAACAATTGCTGGGGCCGGGGATTTAGCTTAGTGGTCCTGCTGCCTGCCTTGCAAGCGCAAGATCCTGAGTTCGATCCCCGGTACCAAAACAAAACAAAACAAAACAAACAATCGCTGGAAGAGGGAAAATCAGGGAGCCTTCTCTTTTCAAGGCCATGCATATTGCCACTTCAGCCATTGTGCCACTGCCATGGCTGCTTCTTACCCAAAAAACTGGTGAGCTGATGGGAAAAGGATGGTGGCTGCTGCAGCCACTCTATGACTACTAGATATTTTTGTCATGTGCTTGTACTGTAGGAATATGGCCTGTGCTACACTTGTGCTTTCTATGTGCAAATAATTAGCAGACCTCAGCTTATTCCAACTCCTTGTCTTCCAGGGAATCTTAACTCTCCAGCCTCTTGAAAAAATAGAAATGTGCAGAGCCTGTTTGGTTGTGAGCCCCGGAGTCTACCATACCAGTACACTGAGGATGGAGAATGTTTTTCATTGCATTTGTTATTTTAGATTTGTTATGTAAACTTATTTTAAAATAATTCTCACTGAAAAGTAAAGATTGCTTTGAGAAACTGGTGTTTATGAAGACATTTATGCTTGCAGAATAAATTTATAACAAAAGTTTGTGATTATAATTGATCTAAAGAAATTTATCGATCTGTTTCCTCAAAATGTAAACTTCAGTGCTGTAGATCTGTTGTTCATTTAATTCTGTTGATTTTGAAGTTTTCTTTGATAAGTGTTTAGAGCCCTGATGTCAGAGCTGGGATAGAAACCACTTACTCATCATTTTAAGACTTGGGCTGCAAGTTGTCCCCCTCCTTTTACTCCTATTTTTTTTGAAGATTACAGTAGTATTATATAATTCTTGTAGGAGATCTATCTCTATATATGTATCTGTAAATATGTATAGATACATATACCTCCTGTAGGAAATACTGTAGGAGATGTATGTTGATCCATAGAGGATTTGAATCCATGAACCCATATAATTAAAATATTTGACATTTTAATCATATACTTTACAAATTCAAGCTTTTTT